CGTTCGTAACTGCGGATCCGACGTAAGTCGGATCCGCGTAACTCGGGGACTGCCTGTATGCAGTTTAGTAATGCTTAAGATGCTAATTGTGGTCACACCTAAAATGGTCATGTGTTGTGGAATCTGGTGTATATGAGGAAAATTAGCGGGAGCTGGCAACAGTTATCAGATATGGGTGCTATTCACTGGTGTTCAGTGAAATTAAGGCATAAAGCAACCTTTTAGATAACAGATTAAATTGTTTATTTATCTAAAAACCTACACCTAGCACTTAATAAATCAGATACATAATTTGACAAATATTAGTAATCAAATACAATGAAAGGTGAAAATAGAGGAATATTTTATCTAACCATTCTACTGAAACTGAAAATCCCCTCTTCTATCTTTAAGAAACTCCAGTGTGTAGACATTTGGTAAGCTGCACAAATACATAAGTAATTCCCTTCTGATTATTGCTAAAGCCAAATTGGACAAGCATTTGCTGTGTTGAGTGTTGTATGTGAAAGTCTTAATGTTCTTTGAAGTTAAAAAGACTGCTCCATTGTGGCAATAGAGAAGGGAATAGTCAGAATTAAGGCATCTGACTTGTTGACCTTGGACAAGCACAATATGTAAATCCACACATGACTAGTTCTATACAAGTCAAATTCATTTTTCCCTTGTTGCTATTATAAGTTATACACAGCAAACATTTCTGAGTGCAGCTTATTAATATAAAAAATATTCAGGTAATATGCTTGCAAAGATCTAAGAACATCAACTGGAAAATGTTTGGAACTCCTTGAATCTTTTTGGATAAATTCACATTTTTCTACACTTTCTATCTTGCATATAAGGCTACCTGGAACCTGTTCAGTCAGGCTTTAGGTCACCCATTGCTTCTGAGTGCTGGTGCCAGAGCCTAGCTGAGACATGCGCTTAAAGGGGTCCCCCGGACAGCCGTTTCTCTGCTTCTGCTGTGTGCTTGCCTACCTCTTCGAAGGATAGCAAAGTTCTTGCAGTGTGTGCTGTGGTTGCCCAGCTTTTTTGAATGCCACAGCTTTTGTCTTTGTACCACGGAGCCGGAGCTGCCTCTGGGCATGCGATGGCCCCACACGGCCATGATGCAGTTTCTGGCAGGCTGCCTTCCTGGTCCTGCACAAGAGCTCATTCTTGGGACCCTCTCCCTGTGTGCAGGAGCAACACCCATGCAACCACAACCACAACCCACAGTGAAAAGGCTTTTCTGGAGTCTGAACACAAGTTCCGACTGGTGGAACTGGCTGGTCATGGAGTGGTGGGATGACCAATAGTGGCTCCAAAACTTCCGCATGCAGAAAGCTACCTTTTTGGAGCTGTGTGCTTGCCTTACCCTGCCCTCCAATAATGCAACACCCACCTGCAGCCCACCATCCCCCTGGAGAAGCAGGTTGCAATCACTGACTGGAAGCTCACCACCCCAGACAGTTACCAGTCAGTGGGCAATCAGTTCAGTGTGGGGAAGTCCACTGTCAGGGCCCTCCTCATGGAGGTAAGGCATTCTCGGGCTGCAATCCCTGCATGGGGAAGTGGGGGGGGCGGGATCCCCAAGGGTTGTGTCGTCCCGCCCTGCTGTTTTACAGAGCTCTGCCCCTCCAGCCTCTTTCTTTTCTGAGGTTCTAGTAAATTTCAGTGCTGCAAAAAGTCTCTTGTGTTGAACTAGACAATGGTGCCACAATGCTCCGCACCGCTGAGGAGGTGCTTGGTGCCAGGTCCCCTGGCCCTGGGTCTGAATGGAAGCATAGAACTGCCTCCATCAGGAGTACTTTAAGCCTTGTTCCTTGTCTTTGAGAGTTCTGGGCTAAAACTCATGACAGACGCGACAACAATCCCGCTGGTGACCCTCACCAAGGTACCTTAAGCATGGAGACGGTTGTTTTGCACTTTGCACAGACACACAGTTTTTTAACTCGTGAGACTGCAGCATGCTACAACTTCGGGGGTCAGAAAGAAATCTGTAAGAGAGGGAAGGTTCCAGCCTACCATTGCTGGTATTAAGAAGAAATGGAGGAGGAGACAGGTTGGAAGGTCTCTAAATAGTGCACTATGAAGGCACGTTTCCAGGTGCCTTTATGGGAAAAAAAAAATCTTCTAATCACCGTGCATGTGCACATATAACTGATCTGAGCTCACATGAACAAGCACTTAAGAAGAACTTCAGTTTCTTCATGAGAATGCTGAGCTTGTACAGATCTAGGATGGGCCTGAGCCATCTTTGGCTTGCAGTATTAGGAAATAACTCTTTCACTATTCCCAGCAGGAAGAGTAAGTGCGCTTCGCATATGAGAAGTTGCTCATGAGAAGCATCCTTGAAGAGGTACATGGATGACAGATGGAAGGGTGAGTACAGAGAATTGGAGGGAGTATCCCCTTTTGATCATGTGGAGAACCCAGCGATCTCATGTTATACAGGACAGAGCAGAAAGAGAAAGCTCTGGGCCACCCACTGCAACAATTGCTGGAGGACCCTTGCGAAAGCAAGAGCTACAGGAAAAAGTAATCCAAGGGGCTAGTTGTTGAAGGCAACTCAAAAAACACATATGCGAAGTTTTTAGTTCCATCTATACTTGAACTATAAGATTCCAGAAGGAAAAAAAAAAATTACAAAAGCAGAAGGCCTCTTACTTTCAAAACTCTCATCCCTCTGTTATGTTGAGTCAGTTTAACCTCAAACTTCACAAAGGGAAAAAAAATCCTTCATTGGTTTACAGAACATGCTTAATTTGCAGCTTTTTTGAGGAAGTTGGAAGATTGGTCAAAAGCCAGTATAATGGAATGTTAGTTACAATTTAACTATGGCGCCACAGCATGCATGTAGAAATCACTAAAAGAACACTGTTGACAAAGTAAGAGCTTAAAATGCTACGGCTGGCTAATGTGGCAACTTACAGTATCGAATGTCGTCAGGTGGTTGAGGGACATCTACCTAAAACACATCACCAGACATTAGCATGACTCGAAGGAATGAGCTGGACTACTAATGAGAAATGCAGTTGAGAAAGTAACTCAAATACTTTCTTGATGGGTTATGTCTTCTAACAACTTACCCTAAATTCTAGTTTACTGAAGGTCCATCTTCTCTCACTGATACAAAGAGTTAGTTGTAGAAAGATGATGTATAACTTTTCATTAGTAATATACCCAAATAATTAGATGCCAATATCTAAATGGTAGTTATATGTATTCATCTAAATGTGGGTTATTGCTGACTATGTACTTTATGTATCTTATAACTTCTAAAACAAACTTCGTATTTGTGCATAATCTATGCATTATCTCCAGATGTAAAGACACTTCTTTTTACCTCTGTATTATGTAAATTTTTACAAAGGTTTATATCTGAAGGTATTTCAATTGAGTGCTGTAGTATTGCATTTCACTCTCTTGCTACTCTCCCCAACCACCCTTGTTCTCAAATCTGAGCTTTACTGTCAATGTTTCTTTAATGTATGTACACCTCTTGGCAATGGGTCCCCTGTACCTTCTAAACAGCTCTTACCTCAGTCCTAACAAACTCATTATACCAAAGGGATATCATTTGAGATATCTACATTCATTTCATAACTTCTCAAGATTTAATCATTGTGAGATGTACATAAAACTAATATCTAAGACAGGGTGGAGAACCTAAGATCCAAGGGCCAGATGCAGCCCCCAGTTTGCCTTGATCTGGCCTCTGAGGCTCAGGGCTCCTCCCCAGCATTGAGGAGTAAGGGATTTTTTGTTTCTCACTTGTGTGCAACCCTCAACTGATTTTTCTGTTGTTCAGTGGCCCCAACCCAAAAAAGGTTCCCCACCCCAATCTAAGGAGTAATATATTTATACTGAAAATATGCTTTATGGACTTGGAATAGAAATTTATCACCAGGATGTGATGATGGTGGTCCATTCAAGCAATAGGGAGTGGAAAAAACTCCCTCATCAGCCAGTGAGGCTATGCAAGGCACAATATTTACTCCCTCCACAAACTATCAAAGAAACACCATGAAATAACAACAATCCAAATCTCCTAGAGGCAAAAGGAAACATTACAATAGTTTTGCCCTGGCTATGAACAAAAATAGAAGGCTGTTCATAGAGAAGGGAGATGCATTCCATTCACTGAAGAAATGCTTTGGGAAGCCAGGCTGCTTTCGTGAACAGTTGGGTCCTGCTTCTTGTGAAACCAGCCAGCTCTACAAGAGACTGAACTTTTGGAGAAGAAACCTATTTTATATTCATACAAGAAAGGTAACTAAGTGTAGACTCAGATTTGAGTTTTATGATTTGGTTTAACTAATTGTTTCCATCACTTTTTCTCTCATTTCATACATCTAATTAAATCTTTATTCCTTCTTATAAATAAACCTTTGTTTTATGAAGTGCTCAAAAGTGCTTTATGGTTTACAATACCATCAGTTTGAAGTAAAACTGACATATGGGGTACAACACCTTTGGGTGCAGACGATTGGTGACATTGGGTACTCTCAAACTCCAGACTGTATCATCACAGGGAAACAATTCTAAGGGAGATTGGGGTGCACTTATTGTTAACCAACAACATGAAGAAAAGGCTAGCGTAAGACCAGAGGAGAGTGCTTGATGGCTGCAAATATAAGAAAACCAATATCCAGCTACTACAAGACACACTCTTTTTGGCCTGGTCTACACTAGGGAAGCAGTTCGAATTAAGATATGCAACTTCAGCTACGTTAATTGCGTAGTTTAAGTCGAAGTATCTTAACCTGAATTTTGGTGCCATCACACTGCAGGAAGTGGAAGGGAGCACACTCTCCCTTCGACTTCCCTTATTCCTCTAAGAAGCAGGATTACCAGCATTAACAGGAGTGCCCTCTCAGTTCAAATTAGTGTGTCTTCACTAGACTCGCTAATTCGAACCCCCAGAAGATCAACTGTGGCCACTTCGATCTTATCTGCAGTGTAGACATGGCATGTGTGACACACAGTCCCGGATACCCTGAGAAGAGGAAGTTACTCACCCTGTGCAATAATAATGGTTCTTCGAGATGTGTCCCCCTGTGGATGCTCCATTGTTGGTATCGGGCTTGTCTTGGAGCCGCAGATTGGATATCTTTTAGCAGTCAGCTGGACTGCACATGCGCGGTGGTCATCTCACAGCTTTTCGTGCCATTTCTGGTCACATGGTATGGCTCCCGCCAGTTCCTCCTGATCGTCAAGGTCTGAAAAACATAATCAGAGACCCCGAGGAGGGGAGGTTGTAGAGCACCCATGGGTACACACTACTCGAAGAACCATCATTACTGCACAGGGTGAGTAACTTCCTCTTCTTCTTCTTCTTCAAGTAGTGTCCCCGTGGGTGCTCCACTATTGGTGACTCCACAGCAGTAGCCTGGTAAAGGAGGCGGGATTCAGAGTCAATGTGTTGCCGCCATAGAGAGGACAGTGGAGGCAACCGCTGCATCAGTCATAAAAATGTTAAAAAGTGCATAGTGTTTCACAAATGTAAAGTCTGAGGACCATGTGGCTACACGGCAAATATCCTTGAGGGGGAACTCCAGTGAGGAAAGCAGTGGAGGACACCATTGCCCTGGAAGAATGGGCCCTAACAGCATGTGGAAGAGTTTTGTTTCGCAATGCATAGCACCATGTAATGCAGGAGACGATTAACTTCGATATATGTTGTACGGATAATGGAAGACCTTTGGAACGGTCGACTATGGAAAGAAGTAGACACAGATTTCCGGAAGGCCCAAGTTCTTTCAATATAAAAGGCCAGTGCTCAACAGACGTCCAGGGAATGCAGTCAAGCATGCTGTTCTGAAGAATGTGGTTTTGGGTAGAATATGGGAAGGAATATGGCCTTGTTTATGTGAAATTCCGAGTTAACTTTAGGTAAGAATGCTGGTTGAGGTCATAGTATGACTCCCTGAGGTGTAAAGACGGTATAGGGAGATGTTGCCGATAGGGAGTCATACTACCTAAGCAACTCTCCTACCCTGCGTGCCAACTCTCCTACCCTGCGTGCTGAGGTTATTGCCAGCAAAAATATAACCTTCATGGTTACAGTGAGTAAATCACACATGGCTAATGGTCAAATGGTGGTCACATTAAGATATCTAGGACCAATTCCAGATTCCATGGATCCAGGGGTTGCTTGTGGCATGCGAAGATATTGGCCAACCCTTTCATGAATCTTCTTGTGATAGGGTGCGAGAAAACAGTATAGCTGTTCACAGGTGTCGAAAAACCATGGTTGCTGCTAAATGGACCGTCAGAGAAGAAAGTGCGAGGCCCAGGTGTTTGACGTGAAGAATATAGCCCAAGATGGACTGCAGGGGTAGCATGCTAGGGTCTAACTTCCTGTACAAGCACCAAGAACAGAACCGGCACCATTTGTGCAGGTAAGTGATGCGCGTGTTAGATTTTCTAGTATGTAAGAGAACATGCCTGACAGCCTGCAAACAACTCATTTCTCCTTGTCTGAACCAAATAGGAGCCATGCTGTCAATGCGAGGCCATCTGGCTGAGGATGTAGCAGGTGCCCGTAGTCCTATGTCAATAGATAGGGTCGTCTGGGAAGATGAAACGGGGGATGGAGCGACATGCGGAACAGGTAAGGAAACCACGTTTGACGCGGCCAGAAGGGTGCCACTAATACCACTCTGGCTCCATCCATAGCTATCTTCTCTAGAACCCTTGGAATCAAAGGAATGGGGGTGAGGGGAGATACGTGTATAGGAGGTGACAACTCCAACTGAAGAGGAAAGCATCTACCCTGGATGCCAGACTGATGCCCGCTCTTGAACAATATTGAGGGCACTTCGCGTTCTATGGAGTGGCAAAGAGGTCTATGGATGGATATCCCCAGCGGTAGAATAGCACGAGCAGGATGTGTGGCTGTAGCTCCCATTCATGCTGCTGGGTAAAATGCCTGCGGAGGGCATCTGCCGTGATATTGTCCTCCCCAGGGAGGTACTCTGTCGTAATGGCAACTTCGTACCAGTTGCACCAGTTCCATAAACGTATGGCTTCCATGCACAAGGAACGGGACCAAGCCCCTGCTTGCCTATTTATATAGTATACTGTTGTCATGTTGTCCATGAGGATACACACCACATAGCCATGGATAAGAGGAAGGAAATGTTTGCAGACATCGAAGACAGCTCTCAACTCGAGAAAGTTTATATGTTGAATGGACTCCTGTGCAGACCACGGTCCTTGGGTCTGTTTGTCATGGAGATGGGCGCCCCTGCCAAGTAGGGATGCATCGGTTGGGGTCTGCATGGTTGGTTGGGGTCGGTGGTAAGGTATCCCAGCCAACATATTCCAGGGAATGGTCCACCATGTTAAATGACTCCTTGACCATGCGTGGCACCATCACCATCCTGTGTACATCGTGTCTGTGCGGCACGTAAACTGCAGTCCTCCAATGTCAGAGGCATCGAAAGTGCAGTCTTGCATGTGCCACGACAGACCATGGGGCACATGGCAGCTATAGTGTGTCGGCAGGTAAGTATGGGAACCCTTGGACTGGTGGTGAGAACTTGAATAAGGTCTGGAATAGCGTGGAATCTGGTGGTGGGCAAGTATGTACGTACATGCCATGTCTGAATAGAGTCGAGCCCCTATAAATTCTATGGATTGTTGAGGTGTCATGGATGACTTGGGAACATATATTATAAGGCCAAGTGCCTTGAATAGTGCCCTTGCCATGTTGGTGGCACAGAGTGCTTTGTCGAAGGAAGACTCTCTGAGGAGACAATCATCTAGGTAAGGGAATATTATGATTCCCGACCATTGGAGAAATGCCGCTACAACTGCCAAGCGTTTTTGAGAAAACCCTGGGAGCTGAAGAGAGGCCGAATGGTAAGACTTTGTACTGAAGTACTCAGATCCTACTACGAAACGTAGGAATTGCCTGTGTGCCAGATGGATAGTCACATGGAAGTAGGCGTCCTGTAAATCGAGGGATGAAAACCAGTCCCCTTGGTCAAGTGCCAGAATAATCGTTGCTAACGTCACCATCTTGAATCATTGTTTGCAGAGGTACCGATTTAGCCGACGAAGGACCAAAATTGGTCTCCAACCCCCGACTTCTTTTGAGTTAGAAAATAGTGGGAATAAAATCCCCTGCCTTTGAATTAATTTGGTACTCTCTCCACTGTGCCGATATCCAGCATATGAGCCATCTCTTGTCTTAGAGGGAATTTGTGAGAGGGGTACCTGAAGAAGGATGGGGAGGAAGGGGTAGGAGGAGGGGGCAAAGTGAATGGAATTGTGTAGCCTGATGTGATCAGCTGTAGGACCCATCGCTTTGTGGTTATAGGGGGACAGCGATGTCAAAACAGACTTTAAACGACGGTGAAAGTCTGGTGGTGATGTCTTGGCCAGTTGATATTGGAATGGCTTGCAACCCCTCGATTGACGTGTCAAACCTGTTGCCTGGTGTTTTGCTGATTGGATGGCCTGTTTGTTGGCTTGTGGCCTCAGTCTCTGTTGACACTGCCAGGAACGCTGCTGTTTGTAGTGTCTGAACTGTGGTGTCGAGTAAGGGAAAGGCCTTTGTCTCTGGTAAGACGGATATTGCTTGCAACAGTAGGGCGGCATGTACATGCCTAGCATACTAAGCATTGTACGAGAATCATTACCCAAGTGTAACACCTAGTCAGTTTTCTCGGTGAACAGGCTGTGTCTATCAAAAGGCAGATCCTCTACCTTTGATTGAAGCTCCTTTGGCACTGTTGCCACAAGGCCCTGAGCATGACCACTGATGTGGCTGTGGTCCACGCCACTGCATTCATTGTATCAAGGCTGATCTGCAGTGCCGATCGGGAGACCGCGTAACCCTCTTGTACAACAGCCTTGAGTACATGACACTTAGTGTCCAGTAAATGTTTGAGGAGGGGAACTAATTTTGAATAATTATCAAAACTGTGGTTGGCCAATAATGCTGCATAATTGGCCAGTCTCAATGTTAAAGTGGCTGATGAATAGACCTTCCTCCCCAAAAGGTCCAGATGCTTACTATCCTTGCCTCCAGAGAGGTTCTTGTATTGCAGCGCTTTGCTCTTTGTTGCGCCGTGTCGACAACAAGGGAGTTAGGCTGTGGATGATTAAATAAAAACTCCATGCCTTTTGTCAGTATAAAATACTTTGTCAGTCTTTTTGACGCTGGAGTGGAGGCGGGTGTTTGCTATATGTCATTTGCCACTTCTAGGATTGTCTCGTCAAGTGGTAGAGCCACCTTTGATGTTTGCGAGGGCTGTAGATTTCTTAGGAGATGGTGATGCTTCTGCTGGACCTCTGATAGTTGCACCTTTTGGCTGTTGGCAACCCTTCTAAACAGCTCCTGAAATTGGCCTAGGTCATCTATGGGTGAGGAGTCTCCAGGGAAGACAGAGTTATCAGAGTGAAGAGGAAGAGATGTCTGCAGGAGAACGATCTCGTGGTTCATCTCTGTCTGACAGCTGTCCGTCTTCTGACTCAGACTGATGTGTTATGGTTGGGTGGTTTCCTGTATGTGTGGATGGCCTCACTGTAGAGGGAGAGAAGAGATAGTTGTGCCACAGGTCGCGTGTGTCCGATGATCGGATGGTGACCAGCATGAAGTATGATCCGGTGAGTGTAATGACGGTCATGATGATTGTGTCTATGCTGACGGTTGTAGTAGTGCTGGGAGTATCTGTGGTGATGGCTGAGTCTGCAAATCTCTCAGTACCTGGAGCTGGTGGAAAGTGTGGTGGACCTAGGTGATCTGGATCTGTGGCCAGACAGCCCACCTCCATCACATCCATCTTATTTGCCTCTCTGAAGCATACAGGGCAGAGAAGGAGCAGTAAAATCAGCAAAGTCTATGCAGGCTCATCTGATCCTGAGAAGCTGAAAAAAAGATATGAGAAGAGAGCGATTAAGGCAATAAGCTGGCCTTGAGGCTGCGAGAACTGCCACCGGCTGGCACCTATGTTGATTCGAACACACACACAGTCCCTGGAAGAGGAATTTCCCACTGAGAAAAGAATCCCCAGTAATTCCAATTTAGTTATCTCTCTTACAAGTGTAAATTAAGTTCACAGCTCCCTTGTAAGAACTGGTCTCACAAAAGACAGACCAGCCCCATTTGGCATGACAGATAAGAAAGAGAAATACGTGACCCCATGAGTGTAAAAGATGGGCCCAGCATACACTCACTTTGAGTGTCATTCTACCCTCTACCTGCTGGTCGGGTTAGGTGTTTGACCTCCCGAGGTTCTATGGGGACGCCCACCTCGTATTTTCGTCTTT